ATTATATATACATGTAATTCCAGAGTTCCTGTTAAGGGAAATAATGGAGCAATGGCATTTTCACATTAATTTACTTTACAGTGGCAATTTAATTTCCCAACATAATTATTTCTTGCTAAAGCATGACATTATCATCCAGTCAAACTTACTGTATTTTTAAAGCTCAATCCAAGTCACCTATTAATCAAACAGAAGTTTAAAAGTCCCTAAAAAATGTTTTCTGAAAATGTAATGAGATGAGATGGATCTTAGTATTCAATGTAAATTCCATAACTGAAAACTCAGTGCTGATACTGCATTCTCCCTTACTTTAAAACAAACAACAAAAAACCTGCCAATTCAGTCGCCATTTTGTAAGCTTCTGCCATAGATAATCAAGGGAGAATTTGGCAACACACACACATTTCAAAACTCCAGGAAAGTGGAACAGGATCCATAAGCTTAATCACCACCATTGCTGAATAACTGATTCCTACCATTACTAACCCCTGCTTTGTCTCAGGATATTTCTTCTTCTTTCTTCCTCTTCCTATTCCAGTCCCTATAAAGGTTTAAGATTAACTAACGTTTCTTCTTGGAGGGTGGTAAAACAAATTGATAACCCTCAAAGATAGCCAGTAAGAGGATTAACTCATCTGTGACATGACAATCATGACTAACGGCGCCAGATAACCTTCAAGAAGTGTCAGTAAGAAGTTAGATCATCTGAGACTTGCAAATTGTAACTACCGTGAAGAGAAACTATAATCCTGTCCATATAAAATCTTCAGCCAGTCTCCAGTTGGGAGACAGGTTTTTTGGAGGAGCTCACTCCCCTCTGTCTCCTGTATATTGATATACAATAAAATCCTCTTGCTGCTCACCTCATCCCTATCTCAGTATTGGCTTTTGCGGAGGGTGGCTCAAATCCACATTTTGCGGTAACATAAGGCTAGATATACTAGGCTCATAATTTTCTCATAAAGCCTGTAAAATCAATGGTTGATGAATAAAAGCAGTTGGTTTAAATAAGGCAGACTTTAGTTAAGTGATTCTCAAGCCAGGCTTCATCCTCAGAGACTGGTCTGTGGGACTCCTACCTTTCCTTCTTTCCTTCTTTCCTTCCTCCCTCTCTCCGTCCCTCCATCCTTCCCTTCCTCCCTTCCTTCCTAAATTTCCTAGGATTTCTAATATGTAGTGAGTATTGAGATTCACTGTTTTGATTATGATGTAGACAACCAGCTAAGAGTTTCCTTACATGGTCAGATTTGCCCAGACACCTTGCCAACTTTCTAATCTGAACAGGTTCTTCTCCTATTTCAATCAAACAAACTCCAACTAAAAGCACTTGACAGGAGTGTGCAGGCAAAAGTGATCCCAGATAGGTGGAAAAGAGGGAACATGAGATTTCTGAAAACTGCACCAAGAAAGCGTCGATTCAGACTGTGAGTTAAGGTTATTTGTTTGTTGTTTGTTTTTGAATTTGGACCACTGGCTCTTCAAAACTTCTATTTCATCTTCTGAAACTTTTGCTTGTAAATAAGTCAGAACTGAGTGATAATATCATATGCTTCATTTCAAATGACTACGTATGTTCAGGAAAACCTGGTGGCATAGTGGTTAAGAGCTACAGTTGCTAACCAAAAGGTTGGCAGTACGAATCCACCAGGCACTCCTTGGAAACTCTATGGGGCAGTTCTACTCTGCCCTATAGGGTCGCTATGAGTTGGAATCGACTTGACGGCAACAGGTTTTTTTTTTTTTTTTTTTTAATGTATGCATAGAACCGCCTAAAATGCAAGACCCGAAGATTTTAGAAACCTGTATCATTCATTCATTCAATGAATATTTATTGAGAATCTACTATCACTACCAATTGCTAGAAAAGGTCATCATAGCTGATAGAGGACCAATGAAAAGGAGAGAAACTCCCAATGAATGGATTGACACAATAACCTCAGCAAGGAATCACACATCACACATACTAATGATCATGAAGATGGCGCAGGATTGGGCAACATTCTGTTATACATGAGATTGCCATGAAAAGAAAGTGACTTGATGGCAACCAACAACAACAACTATCACTAGGCATTGTTCTGGGTACTTGGGATACAGCAGTGAACAAAGCATAAGAGTCTCTACACTCCTGGAGCTTATTCTGGTGGAGGGGGTTTCTGAATAAGCAGCTTCATTTCTTTTTATCTATAATTTTTTTCTTTAAATAATATTTTATTGTGTTTTTGGTGAAAGCTTACACAGCTTTCCCGTTTGACAATTTCTACATGAACTGATCAATGACATTAGTTATATTTTTCACATTGTGTCTACGTTCTCATTGTGTTCTGGTTGTTCCATTTCCAGTACTCTAGTTTCCCTACCCCCTTATCTTTTCAGCTTTGCTTTGGATTAAATGTTGACCTTTTGGACTCATGCAGATTTTTTTAGTAGAGCATTGATCTAACAGATAGTATCATTTATTTTGTGTGTCACTTTGCTTTTCTGTTAAAAGATGATCTCAGGGGATAGTTCTGGTTCAAGGTTTAAAGAGTGTCTCAGGGTGATAGTCTCAGGGAATCCTCTGGTCTCAGTAGTCCAGTTTAGTGTGGCTATTCATCTATAACCTTCTGCTCACTCGTAAATAATTTGAAACTGTAATAGAAATAAGCACAATGCAATAGAAAGAAATAATACAGAAAAAAAAAAAAACCTAGGATAATAGTATTGATATTATAACCTTGGTGAACCTTGGAAAATCCCAGAGAAAATAGCCTGAAAGGTGGTTAGAAGAACGTAAAGGTAAAATAAACTTCTGCTGCTGTTACACAAAATAAAAAACTTCAATAAGTTCAAAAACATAAAAGTCAAACTCCTGTAAAGCACTGATTTTTCATCTAGGGTTGTGCCCCAGAATATTTGTGAAATTCTAAAAAAAAATTAGATCTGCGAATCCATCTCGAATCTTCTCAATTATAATCCATGTGGAGTCCAAGAAAATGTAGTTAAAAAAAAGCCATTGAAGCGGTTCTGGTGTGCATTTTAAAACCCCTGTCTTGAAAGTGGTATTTCCCAGATGGCAAGTGTGGAGCTCAGTAAATCCCCCCCCAAATCAAAACCAAACTCATTGCTGTCGAGTCGATTCTGACTCATAGTGACCCTCTAGGGCAAAGTAGAACTGCCCCATAGGGTTTCCAAGGAGCACCTGGTGGATTCGAACTGCCAACCTTTTGGTTAGCAGTTGAGCTCTTAACCACTGTGCCACCAGGGTCCCCATAAATCTCCCTACTCCCTCAAAAATATGAAAAACTGGAAAATATTGTAAGAACAAATTTTCAGGACCCTGATAATCGATCAAAAGCAAGCAACAAGCTGAGAATTGTTTATTCATGAAAAACTACTGAATGTGGGGCAAGATAGTGGTAGTCTGTGGTTTTCTTTTGTGGGGCTGCTCCCATTACTGCCCCTCTCAGTTCAGTTGGCCCAAAGTTCTACCAGGGTGGAGCTGGCAGTGGAAACCAGCAATTTTCCAGTCAGAGGGGCTGACTGAGGTTCAAGTAGAGATTGGAAAAACCTCATGACCAGGTATTGTCAGAAACACTAGCGTGGCAAAGAAATGCTGAAGGCCAATCTGGTAGCTAGCCTGAGGATGCAGTCCCACTTGGGACACTTACCAGACCAGTGGAGTAGCCGGACACTTAATAGGGAGATTGTTGAAATAAGAGAGTCACAGGGGGCTTGTTGTGCTCCCGTATACCCCTGGCTGACCAAGAGGACCTGCCAGGGCCTGATCTTTGAACGTGCTTCCCAACCCACACAGATAATTGGCAGAGGATGGAGGCTTTACTGTCTTGAGCTATTTGAGCATAGCCTCTGACCAATTATTGACCACTAAGCTATACCAGAAGCCTTGGTGGCACAGTGGTTAAGAGCTATGGCAGCTAACCAAAACGTTGGTGGTTCGAATCCACCAGCTGCTCCTTGGAAACCCGATGGAGCAGTTATACTCTGTCCTATAGGGTTGCTGTGAGTCAGAATTGACTTGACAGCACACAACAATAACAACAAGCTATACCAGGGGCCCCGGTGGCACAGTGCCTACGTGTCTGGCTGCTAACCGAAAGGTGGGCAGTTCGAATCCACCATCCACCATCCACTCCTTGGATACCCTATGGGGCAGTTCTACTCTGTCACATAGGGTTGCTATCATCCGGAATCGACTCTACTGCAACTAGTAAGCTATACCAACACAGAGGCGGCCCTAGGAAACAAGCCTTAAACATAAAAGGAACAAAACCTACTTTTTCAAAACATATTTGAAGACATTTGTTTAAAAAAAAAAAAACCGAGAAAATTGCTGCATGGTTCTGAAAAGCAGAAGGCAGCAGAATGAATTCCTATTTGGACACTGCTTGATTTATTCCACTAATATTTATATTTATTTTACTCTAGATGAGATACTATGCTAGATGCCTGGATACTGTAATGAACATGATAGATAAAGATGAACTTCAAGAATTTATACCAGGCTAGGCTTTGCTCTCCATGTTTTTAGAACACGGACAGACTATTCTGGTCTTGCACATACTTCCTGAATTTCTAAAAGTAGATTTATATAATATTTTAACTAATTAGTCAAATAAATTAACAAATAGTTTTAGATAATAGTATTTCATTTCTTCTGATACAAAAAAACTAAGATTAAAATATAACTACCAGTACTACCACCAGTTGCCACCAAGTGGACCCCAACTGATGGCGATCCCATGTGTGTAAGAGTAGAACTGCACTCCATGGGGTTTCAATGGCTGATTTTTTGGAAATAGATTGCCAGGCCTTTCTTCTGAGGTGCCTCTGGACAGTCTCAAACCTCCAACGTTTCAGTTGGTAGCTGAGTGCATTAATCGTTTGCACCACCCAGGGACTCTGAAACATAACTAAATAAAACACCAAACCTGTTGCTGTTGAATCAATTCCAACTCATAGTGACCCTATAGGATAGAGTAGAACTGCCCCATTGGGCTTCCCAGGTGCGGCTGGTGGATTCGAACTGCTGACCTTTTAACAGCTGTAGCTCTTAACCACTGTCCCATCAGGGCTCCTGAAGCATAACTAGGAGACCTATATTCTAGTATTGTCTCCAATACTCTCTAGCTGAGTAATCTTTGCCAAAACATTCTCTAGAGCTCAATTTTATTACTTATAAGATGAAGAGGATTTAATTAAATCTCTAAGGTGACTTCTTGATCTCAAATTCTATGACATTTGTGAGTGTATACAATATACACATTAACATCTAAAAAATGTTTTTAAGAAACCTATCCTGGCTTACTTTAATGAACACGTGAAATCCATCCATAATTAGCACAGTACTTGTAAACACATGCACATTTGTAAAGCAGTATTTAAAGAGCTTATTTTCTTTAACAGGTAAAACATTGCATTTGAAGCTTTATTTACAAGAGTTGCCAGGAGACATTATTTTAATATATGGCATTAGAGTCAAACCTCATGTCATAATATAGTCACAAACATAAAATTACAGATATTATAATTAGCTAGATTTTACTGTAGTTGAAAGATCAGTATGTTAACATCATAGCCCTCAATATTTACTTTTTATTAATTTAACAAACATTATACAGTGATTAAACAACTAGTTGCCATTGAGTCGATCCTGACTCAGGGCGATACCATGTGTGTCAGAAGAGACTTGTGCTCCACAGGGTTTTCAATGGTTGCGTTTTGAGAAGTAGATTGCCAAGCTTTGCTTCCAAGTTGTGTCTGGGTGAACTTAAACCTCCAACATTTTTGTTAGCAGCCAACAGTGTTAACTATTTGCACCACCCAAGAACTCCTTCTACAGTGATAATTGTGTGCCAACCATTGTTCTTTATACTTATTAATTCATTTAATCCTCAAGACACTCCTAAGAAGTGATTGCTAATTATTATCATTTCTGTTTTACAGATGAGGAAACTGAGGCACCAGTTAAGAGGTTAACTAACTTGTCTCTAAAGCACTAAGAGATAGTAAGATATTAACTTACAGCTAGTAAGTGGCGTATAACCTAGATTCAAACTCAGATCAGCTGGCTCCCAAGTCCATGCTCTTACTCACTGTGCCATGTTGCCTGTGCTTATAAACCTGTGGGCTTGTGTTGCAAGATGGAATATCCAAAGAGGGAAAGAAGTGAGTAATTAAATAAAAGAACACATTTTATTTTCCTTAAACTCATATACACATACACACACAAACTCTCACATTCTTACATAGCACACACATATATATAAGCCCAAAGGATAAATGAAAGATTTGAAATTTATTAAAAAAAATATATATCACCAGAGTCATGAAGATATGGAAATTAAGATTTTCAGTGTTTTAGAGCAAATTCTAGCACTTTACTTTAACAATTAAAAAATAAAACTCTGATATGCATTGTCATGAGCAAATATGTTGCTTAAAATAATGTCAGTTCTGAATAACCTTTATGCAATGCCAAAATATGTGGTTTTACAGGTTAACATGTTTATGACAGATATACTCTTTATTTACCATTGACCCATTGCTGTCGAGTTGATTCCAATTCATAGTGACCTTATAGAACAGAGAAGGACTGTCCCATAGGGTTTCTAAGGAGTGGCTGACGGATTCAAACTGCAAACTTTTGGTTAGCAGCCGAGCTCTTTACATCTGGTCCACTAGGGCTCCCTTTATTTACCAGTTTGTAGGAATTATCTTTCTAAGTAAGGGTCCTCCCTTACTTCTACCTTAAATAAACCAAAAAAAGACAAAAAACAAGCCTGTTGCTGCCAAGTGGATTCCGACTCATAATGTCCCTATAGGATAGAGTAGAACTGCCCCATGGGGTTTCTAAGGAGCCGCTGGTAGATTCAAACCTTTTGGTTAGCAGCCCAGCTCTTAATCACTGCGCTACCAGGGCTCCAGCTTAAACAAACAAGTGGTGATTTCACATTCCAGCTATTTTATCTTAATTCATTAGTTTTAGTCCTCTGGTCTGTCTGGCCTATAACATCATGTGCCCCTGCTCTCCTTACTAAGCACCTTTGTTCCATCGATTGTGACATTTGTATTTTTTTTATGGACATTTGAAGATTTCATACTCAGATGCTAAATTTTCCCTCTGTTAGTGCTGAGAGATTATTTTGAAAGAAGTTTTTTCTATCAACCAAATGTGGTTTATTTGGCTGAGATGTTCATGTCAGACATCTGAGATATCGTCATACATTTATCAAAAATTAGGATGGAACTCCATTGAACAATGAAAATTCCAAGAGATGTGAAATGGGGTAAAATAGAGAACTTCAGAAACCTCTCATTAGTGGGAAACACATACAGGCATAGAATGAACGCAGGCAAGCATGGACCGTCTCCATTGAAAGACTACAGGAATGAAAAGGAAAAGCTAACGACACGCCAGATAGGAAGCAACCCCTCTGTATGTCACATGACATTCCTTTCTGGCATCAGGAGGCCTATCCCATACTTCAAGGTGTGCTTCTGGGTCAGTCTTTGTGGCAAAGAGACAATGTTGCTTAGCTTTTTAATTAACATACGTCCTTGCTGACAGACATTGTAAATGAGGCACTTTTTCCTTCCCATTACGGCTTATACTTCAGATTTAATTACTGTGGAAATGAATCAAGAAACATGACTTCAGGCATAGCATTTTAAATGTCTGCAGAGTAACAATTTTCATTCACTATTTTAAAGGACCGGTGTCATCCCATCTTTAAGATGAGTGATGTGAAAATAAGTTTAGGAAGGAGGGTACTAAACCCAAAGACCCTGCAGGGAATCGGACAATTGATCACCTATTAGGTGAAATTTGGAAACGCTTTATTTTTATACTGACCTAGTTTTATTTTGCACATACTCATGACTTACATGTTAAAAAAAATGTGTTTTCAACGGTCATATATGAACTGTCCAGAGCCCTTTTAACTTGGGTCTAAATGAGTTCATGAACTATATTCTCCATAAATATTATCAAAATACAGCCACATTTTCTTTCATTATCTAAAACGAGTAGGAGGAATACCTAAAATCATCTCATCTTTCTTGCTGTGAGCTATAAGTCATGGAAATACAATGAAATTACTAAATGTTTAGTCCTTCAGTAGAACATGTATTTGAAATAAAGATAACTCAAAATGACCTTAAAAGGAAAAAAAGATGAAGACATGTGGAGTACCTTCTCATACAATCCAGTGCTCGGATGAAGAAGTCCTTGTGCAGCTGGTGCTCATCTCGCAGGATTGAGCACTGTTCAAGTGTCACCGACATCGATGTCCTGTCTTTGGCACTTTTACAGCAGGTGAAACGAATACCATTTAGTTTGCGACAAATCTGTAACAAACACACACGTATAAATACTTTATTGTATAGCTACTGTGCACCCAGGTACAATTTTAAAAAATTGTATATAGATTTTCTCTTTTATTTAACTTCACGTGAATCCTAGAGGAAGGTATAATTGTTTTCATTCTACAGATGAGAAAACTGAGGTTTAGAAAGTTTAAGTAACTTGTACACAACAGAGCAGAGCTAGGATTCAAATGTAAATTGACCTAACTCAAAGACCAAGCCTTTAACTTACATTGTATTCTGTGTCTCTCTATCTCTTTCTTCAGATATTCTTATTTCATCAGGTCAAGAATCTCTGAGCAGCAATAATCTCGTCTCATTGCTTTATTCTTAATAGATGGCTCATTCTACTCCTTTCTCTTCCCTATCCCAGAATAGGTTTCATCAGCTATATCAATCAGCAACTTCAGAACCAACATGCATTGGAAATAAAACTACTATGATATAATAAAAGGCCTGCTTTATTATCTGCCATTAAGGAGGACTTAGGAGAGTATATAGTATTTTATCAAGGGTTTTTACCATGTTTTCAATGTGATTCTGATATTTAAACTAAGATTTACAAATACTTATTAATTTAGTCCTTTGATATTTTCTCAATATTTCCAATATAAGTGACTAGAGAAACATGAAAGCATGTCCCATCATATAATCTTTTTCATCTAGAAAATTCTAATCCTTTTAAATAAAAATTATTTCAAAAAATTTAATATAAAATAATAAAGGTTTAACTATGGTCATAGTAATAAGATATAAACTTCAATGGCTATGAGATACGATTTTCAAAAAGAAGTAATATCCTTAAAATTTATTGTCATGATTATATGCACCTAGTCTCCTAAGGATTCTTAATGTTTTAAATTTAAAATCAAGAGGACTGGGAACAATTAGGTCAGGGTAGATAGTTTGGGTCTTGATTTTTTATTTCCATAACTCTTTTGAACTATATGAGCTTGAATATTGATTTGACACAGTTGATTGGCATTTAGCCTTTTTAAATTCTCATTTTTATTATTCAAATTTAATTAAGATAAAACCAAATAGCTTCATACTTTTCAAGTAGAATGTAAAACATTAACAAAAGCAGTATTTTATTAAATAGATTTTAAAAAGAGAAGAAAATAAAAGACATAAATGAAAGCTTTTTGGAAAATGTCAAAATGAATTTCTACATGTGTTCATTTTAAGAGTATTTTTAAGGTCATTAGTTTACAAAGAGGAGCATCAAACTGAGGTAGCAGCTTATAAGAATGCTGTTAATAATGATGTTCTTACAGAATGCTGAATTTGCACACCATGGGTATTGTGGATACATCAAGATAGGCGATCACCCATTAAATGGTAAGTTGTGAGTAAGCCATATGTGGTCATTATGTACATTTCAGAAAAATATTTTTAAAAATGTATGGCATTTATGGGAGACTTTTTCATATATTCACATGGTAAAACTGCATATACTAAGAAAAAATAAGCATTCATTTGTGCATTTGCACATTACTTATCTTTTGACATAGCTGTACAATACATATGCAGTGACATATTTATATACTCCTAATTTGCCTTGGGAGCTCTGGTGGTGAAGTGATTAAGAGCTTGGCTGCTAAACAAAAGGTCAGAAGTTCAAATCCAACAGCTGCTGCTTGGAAACCCTATGGGGCAGTTCTGCTCTGTCCTATAGGGTTCCTATGAGTCAGAACTGACTTGACGGAAATGGGTTTGATTAGTTTGGTAATTTGCCTTGGTATATGCAAACTACCTTCTTCATGCTATCAGCTTATTAATGAAATAGCAAAAATAACTTAGGACCTACCTTTAAGAGATATTTTTTGAGTGTTAACAACCATGGTAGCCTTTGAAGATACAAAGAGCATCCACAGGGGAAAGAACTATTAAGAACAATCTTTATGTAATGCAGTATGGTGCTAAATGGGACCAGTGTAAATGAGCAGCCTAAAAAGCAATATTTCATATTGTTATCAATGATGTTCTTTCCTGGGGCTCTAAGAAGGCATAAAGGGAAAGTAAAGCGGCTTTCTTTTACCTTGCTTCTGGTAAATTACTTTATATAGTCCCATGGTAAATTATCCATTCCTTCTTTCCAGAAGAAAGTAAGTAATATTGCATTATAACTGAAGTACTGGCAATAGGGAAGAAGGCTCTATTTTATAAGCTATTGGCAAATAATGAATAGAATATGCTAGAAGATTTGTTAACCTGAACTCCAAATTACATGAACACACTGTGCAGTAACTGTAAACATGGCATTCATTGTAAAGATCTCCAATGTGTGCCTTTCTTGATGAAAAGATCTCTTTCCCATGAAAGGATCTTTGGGTCTGAATGTTTAGAAAAATTAATTACTTTATGTGAACTATGCCTAAATGGTTGCCAGAAAAGAGCTAAAAAAAAAGTCTCCACACTCCTGTAGAAACCTGGGGCGAGAAAACCCACAGCTCTTTTACCCCAAGGGCGCCATTAAACAAGACAGAACCATACACATTATAGCTTATTACTCCAAGAGCAATTTATCAGCAATCAATTCTATGCCAGTATCCAAATTAACAAACACATTTAAAAGCTCATTAATTAAACAACATGTCTAGGAGTCTTGCTGGGGCTGTAAGCCAGAGATCTGAGAACCATACTCTGTTAAAACCGTATGTCTTTAGAGGAGCAGTTCAAAATCCAAGTTGATATGAAACATTGGCATAGTAACATACAATAACAAGAAAACCACATTTTAATCTCAGACTCATCCAGGGTTTATAAGAACAGCCAATGGGTAAGATTCTTGTTGAGTATATATTTTCTCATTTTGTATTCTAGTTTATTGACAAAACTACCAGAGGTAGTGAAATGCCTAATCCCCTGGATAATGGAGGGAGATACTGAGTAACCCATAGTGCAAAGCTTAGACCCTGCATGATAGATACATGATACTGCTTGCTGGTCATCATGATGGCAGGTTATGATTTGACACAAGAGTGCTTACCGTTGCAGCCAGCCACATGATTTCTACATTCTTTCTTTTTTTGGCTTGGATATTTTGATGGAGATTTTCTAGCAGTCCTTTTAAATCATTTTGTTCTTGAAAATGTGAAATGTCTCGGAAAAAAAAAGAAAGAGAAAAAGAAAAAGAAACAATGTTAATATTAAGCTGCCTGTGTAGTTTTCCTCAATCTATTTGTAAATGCAGCTTCTGTAACAACAAATGCCATTTGGAGTAGAGGTATCTGAGGATCACCATACTTACTCATCCCTCTAGTTTTATTCTTGGAGCTCCTGGGTGGGCACAAACAGTTAAGTACTCCACTGTTATCCAAAAGGTTTACAGTTCAAAATCACCCAGAGTCACCTTGGAAGACAGGTTTGGTGATCTGCTTCTGAAAGGTCACAGTCTTGAAAACCCTATGGAGCAGTTCAACTCTGCACAAATGGGGTCACCATGTGTCAGAATCGACTTGATGGCAAACAACAGTTTTATTCTTTACTTAGAAATTTGCCTTAATCTCCTTCACTCCCTATTCTTTGTCACTGTGGTAATGTCAGTTGGTCATATAATACTATTTTACCAACAAGGGAAACATTTTTGGTTAATGTAATGACTGCTGCCTCATTCCAACCAAAGGACTGAATATAGATGAGACAAGAGAGATCACCTTCCATTTTCTACTATTTACTGAAAAAAAAAAAAAAAAAAAACAGTTGCTGTCAACAACTCTGACTGATGGAGATCTCATGTGTGTCAGAGTACAACTGTGATCTGTAGGGTTTTCAGTGACTGATTATTCAGAAGTAGATCATCAGATCTATCTTTGAGGTGCCTCCGTGTGGCCACGAACCTCCAATCTTTCAGTTCAGACAAGTGCATTAACGGTTTTTACCACCCCAGGATTCCCTGCTACAGAATAGCTTGTCTGAATCAAGAGAATATATTAAACTGACCATCTTAGAGGTGGGAGAAATCTGAAACTTCAAACAAAAAACAAGAAATTGGTTTCTATACAGCAGGATCCCCCAGGCTTGGCCCTATTGAAGTTTGGACTGGATAATTCTTTATTGTGGATGCTGTCCTGTGCATTGTAGGAGGTTTAGCAGCATCCCCAACCTCTGTTGATTAGATGCCAGTAACACCCTTCTCGTGATAATAAAACTGTCTCCGGACATTGCTCAATGTCCCCTTGGGTGCAAAAGAAATGCTGGTTGAGAACCTCTTCTATAAAGAAGCACAGGTATGGCATGGAAAAAGGAATGACGTGACATGGGAAGAGATCATTGGGTAGGGAGTAGGAAATGACACTGACTGCTCAGATCTCTACATACTAATAACTAAAGCACAGGTAATAAATGGCATTAACTTCATATTATGTCAGAATTGTCCATGAGACTTGGTGAGGTGGGATTCAAGATTAGAATATGGTGATGGAAACAAACAGACTTCCTAAGGGAGTGGATGGGTTAGTACTGTAGAGTATGAAAACATACTCTACTGTTGAACCCACAAACAGGGGTGAAGAATTTCTGAGCACTTTGACCAAAACAAAAAACAGAAGAAAAAATACATAAGAACAATACTGTCTATACTTAAGCTACTCAGTTACATGGAAGAAATAGATGACATCTTCCTGACTCAGGACACAAAAAACTGGTACAAATAAGCTTCAATAGTGATGAGACTTTGTACTTTCCAAAATTACACCAGATGTTCCATTTCAGCAAAAATAACACATCAGAGTAGTTCTTGATTTAGTTCCAGAGAGTAGAGAAAGCTTCCTAATGAACTATATTAGATATCAGTATCTACCAAAGAGTAGAAGTGGTTGGCAAAGTGGAAATGTCCATTGAAAACAATTATATATCATAACCACAAAATACAGGAAGAATGTATACAATCCAAAGTCCCTGAGTGGTACAAGGGATTTGCACTGGTCTACTAACCTACAAACAAACTCACCAAGATGCACCATGGAAGAAAGGCCTGGTGGTCTGCTTCTATAAAGATTACCACCAAGAAAACCTTATGGAGCATTTCTAATATGAACACATTGGGTTGCCATGAGACAAAATCAACTTGCCAGCAATGTTTTTTTTTTTTTTTTTTTGGGTATAAAATCCAGATGTGTGGTCTCTGTCAGCAAGTTGAGATTCAAAGTATTCCTAAAAAATTATGCATTATGCATGACTCCACTGTACTAGCTTCTAAAAGGGAAAACCATCAAAAGTCAAACTCCTACTATATAACTATAGATGGTTCTCATAAGAAAGGAAAGGTTTGACTAAGGTCTTCTCATTTCTAGGTAGGAGACTCTCTGGCATACAGGGATTAACAGGTCATAGCCCAAAGCTAAAGAGAAGGAAGTAGATTATAGAACACCTTGCAGAGAGTTACAAAACTGCCTAGGCCTCTGAGGCTAACTAAAGAAGGTAAAGACAATAATGAGGCTTTTAAATTTATATTTAGAGCATGTGAGGAATAAGAAGCCCATTCTACCATCACTGTTGGCAATGTTAATAAATGGCACTCAAAACAAAAATCTGGGCAATCAATAAATTAGAATTATAAGCAGCCTTTAAAAATTATGTACAGGTATATATTGACACAGAAAGTGGTTATGACAAGATTAACAGAATTTATTTATGTAACAGTTTGTATAGGTTTGTGTATGTCTCTGTGTATGTGTACACATATGTTTGCTTCTCTATATATGCATAGATGGGCAGGCAGAAACATCTGTTTAGATATTAACAACAATCATATTTAGGTTGTGTGATTTAAAGTGGTTTTCCAGCTTTTTAAAATATCATGAGTCATTTACAGTGAACATGTATTGTTTTAAAGTAATAGTTATTTTAAGAGCAAGGGAGAACAAGATTATAAGAAAAAGGTGAACCAAAACACTGATGATACAAAACTGACTCAATATCTCCACAAATTAATAGGTGGAGATACGCGTTTAAACCATTATTAAGTGCAGGAAAGTAGAGTGAGGACTATGACATAAGTCAGTAAAGATAATAACAGGGGCCCTGGGAAGGAGTAGTCAATTCTATGAAGAATAGGTGGGCATGGACAGGTTTGTAGAAGAGGTAATGCTAGGTGGATCCAGAGGGCATTTGAGGCAGAGGAGAAAGTGCCAGTAAAGGCAGGGAAGCATGAGTCAGTACTACAGAAACAGGGAGTTTATAGTTCACTATATTCCTGGAGTGCATGGCACCAGAGGCAGGAATCCTGGCAACCTGTTCTGCTGTGGTGAGAAGTTTGGGCTTCATCCTGGACAATGAGAGCAACAGGTATTGTGTTTTAACTAAGGACACAACCACATCTGGGAAATCCTTGAGATTCTTTCTGAAGTCACCTGGTATAAATGGTTTTCAAACTTTTCTGAAAGCAGCTCAGAATAGGAATTTCACTTTACACAACATTCCATGGTGCGTGCATGTGTGTGTGTGCACACACGCACACACACACACACATACACCCCTCTGCAACAAAAAAATTATCAAATCATATTTACCCATAGTGCATACGATGTATCCCGAATATTTTCTATTTTATTCCATATTACCTTTTTTTTTTTTAAAAGCTGTTCCAAACCTGTCAAATTGATTTAACAACCCATAGGGTTTCCATACTAAATTCACAAAACATTGACTTAGGGCAACCCCATGTCCAGGTTGACTTGTTCACAAGTTTCATAATCAGAGGAAGAATCAAGACTGAAACCTAATCTCCCCACTTCTATGCCAGCAATTTCCCCAAATCTGTGCTGGTGCTTTCACAATTAGCTGGTGTTACTGAAAAATAGCTCCAGTATTAACACAACGGGGCCATGGTAGCATACTGGTTAAGAGCTACAACTACTAACCAAAAGGTTGGCAGTTTGAATCCACCAGTCACTCCTTGGAAATCCTATGGGGCAGTTCTATTCTGTCCTATAGGGTTGCTATGGGTCAGAAGGGATTAACACAATAGGCCAGCTTCTTCAGAGTACTGGCACTTAGAATGAAGCACAATGATTGATTAAAATAATTTAGTTTCACTGTTAGTGTGGGAATTTTTTAAACAATCATTTTAAACAGACTATGAGGCTCCCAAATATAAATGAAATAAACGGTCATCCTTTGGACATCCCCATCTGTCATGGATTGAATTGTGTCCCCCCAAAATATCTGTCAACTAGGCTGGGTCATGATTCCCAGTATTGTATGACTATGTACCATTTTGTAATCTGATGTGATTTCCTTATATATTGTAAAATCTATCACTATGATGTAATAAGATGGATTACCAGCAGTTAAACTGATGAGGTATACAAGATTGGATAGTGCCTTAAGCCAATCTCTTTTGAGATATAAGAGAGAAGTGAGCAGAGACACATGGGAAACTCACACCACCAAGAAAGCAGTGCCGGGACAAGTGTGTCCTTTGGACCTGAGGTTCCTGCGCTGAGATGTTCCCAGACCAAGGGAAGACTGATGCATCACAAGGACCTTCCTCCAGAGCTGAAGAGACAGAAAGCCTTCTCCTGGAGCTGATGCCCTGAATTTGGACTTGTAGCCTACTGGACTGTGAGAGAATAAACTTCTCTTTGTTAAAGTCATCCACTTGTGGTATTTCTGTTAGAGCAGCACTAGATGTCTAAGACACCATCCCTTAAAGATAGTGCTTAAAATAGACATGATATCCCATAGAAATTCTAATTCCCACTCTCCATGGCTTGTTTTTTAGAAGGAAGTCAATAAAAAATCAGAACAACTACAGTAAAAGCATATAAAGTAATGGAAATAATATAAAGTTAAATGTGCAAAATGGTACCATGCTTTTTTATGGAATCATACATTTACAGTTAGGAGTCCTGGAGGTGCAAAGGATTACGTGCTCTGCTGCTAACCGAAAGATTAGTGGTTTGAACACACCCAGCAGCTCCATGGGAGAAAGATGTGGTGATTTTTCCCATAAGTATTTCAGCCAAGAAAACCCTATGGGGCAGTTCTACTCTGTCACAAGGGGTTGGTATGAGTTGAAATCAACTCCATGGTACCTAACAACAGTAACAACTGAGGAGAGAGGGCTGGGGATGGGAACCTGGAGGAGTAAATAAGGA